CAGTCTTTATGTATTTAAGGCTCAAACGTGTTTGTACAGGCTTCTGCAGCAACCAAGAAAATTATAAAAGATGGAATAGAATAAGCAAAGGCAGTGGAGATAAATATACTGAATTCTGTGTGTGTGTGTTTGTGTGTGTGTGTGATGGAAAGAGAGAGAGAGAGAAAAAAAAAAGAGAAAAAAAAAGAGAAGAGAATAAATGAGTATGAGTTATGGAATATGGCTGAAGGTGACGGAAATAGTACCCTCAAAACTACAAGACCCAGGACCTACTGAAGGAATAGTTACTGCTAGTACTTTGGTAACACAGTATAAAATCTTGACTTTCTGAAGCTAATGGCAGCTGGGTGACTGATGTCCAGTTTAAAGACCTGTAGGTCACCATCTAAAGTTTCAAGGGGATCAGGATGTATTTTATGAATAAAGAGATGATATCATGAAGAGTGAAAATTAGAAAATAAAACTGGGAAACAGGAGGGGTGGGGAAACAGGAAGAAGATTTAGCTGCTTCCTAAATATAAAACTTGCATGTTCTGTCCTCTATTCATACTCATTTCCTAGGTGTGTTTATCTAGTCTCATGATTTTAAATACTATGTATATACTGATAACTCCTAAATGTCTATCTTTGGGTCTAATCTTTCTTCTAAGCTCCATGCAATACACATTGCCTATTTAATATTTCTTCTAGGATTTCTAACATTATCTCAAACTTAACATGTTTAAAATAGTCAGTTCTACTGACTGTACTGCCTAATCTTTCTTACCTGGGTAAATGATAACTGGCCTTTGAGGTGTTCAGGCTAAAATGCTGGAGTTCATCTTGACCCCTCCCTCACTTCTTTTCTCTTATATTCTACTTTTAATTCACTAGCAAATCTTGTTGACTTTACCTTCAAAATATAGTCCGGATCTGATTATTTCTTACTATCTCCACTGCTACCACTCTGGCCAAGTCTTTCCCCGGGGTATTATGTATCCTTCTAACTAGTCTCCTAGCTTTTTTTCTTTTCCTTCCTATATGCCATGCCATACAGAAGCCAGAGTGAACATTAAAAAATTAAAGACATACCATGTTCCATGTTACGTTTGCTTCCTCAAAACTAGCTATTTAGAATAAAACGATCTGACTTCTGTTATTTCTCCAACCTCAACTCCTGTTTGACTTAGCTCCAACTTCTCTCTATACTTTGGCCATACTGACCTCCTTGTTGTTCTTCAAATATGACACACCCTACCTCAGGTCTTTTCTATTTGTTGTTCACTATGTTTGGAACACAATTTCCCTCACAACATACACCCTGATGCCTTCAGATTTCCACTCTAATTTCATCTCTTCAGGGAGGCCTCATTACCCTATGTAAAAGAGAAGACTCTATCAGTTAAGAATAGACAAGAGAACCAAAATGCTTCCAGGTATTTCAAATGCAGAGGTGGGGAGAAGGGAGGATTTAATACAGGGAATTAGTTATAAATATGTTGGGAGGGTTGGAGAAACTAAAGGATAAAACTGCATCACCAAAGGTCAGTGACTGCAGGAAGTCACCATGGTTGCCAGAGTTGTTGGGGAAAGTGATGATTCTGAGAGTTGAGGAGCTTATGCTTCTGCTAACTTCTCTCCACCTCCCACATCCTAACATCATATTATGCATCCCAATGGTGAAACCTAATTGGACCACAGCTGGAAAGGGAGCCTAGGAAAGAGAGTTTTCAGGCTTCCAGCTTTATTGTATAGGGGAAAGTTTAAAAGGGCTGATGTGGGGTAAGTTTCAACAGATAGTATGTGGTATATACCTCTTCCACTATCACTCTCTCTCATCTTATCCTTTTATTGTTCTTCACACCATTTACCACTATTTGTTTGTTTGACTATACTCCTCTGCTCTCCCCACCATTAGAACATAAATTCTGTAAGAGCAGAGAATTTGTCTATCTTGCTTGCTACTATATCCCCAGTACTCAGAACAGTGCTTAGCATCTGTACAGTAGCACACTAAGTGGGGAGGAGTGGTGGGAATGGTCTGCCCAGTGGAGAGGAGTGTTTTATCACTTCACATTGTGTGGAATTGCCAGTGCATGGTGATAATAAAAAGCAGAATGACTTGTAGTCAGTTCTACTATTGCTTTCTAATTTTCTACAGACAATGCATCCTCTTATGTGAGGATAAAAGATTAACAAAACCCTTTCTCCATCTTTAAGGACAGATGTGACCTTGGGTTAACATTCTATCTTTGTTCCTCTGGAAATCTGATAAAGATGAAATGTCGGATTGTTAGTAAGCAACATTTCTCATGGTAAAAGGGATCTCTGATTGGTAACTTGCATACGGACTGGAAGGAACTATAAATGAATTATATATAAATACCTAGTGGGAAGCCACAACTTTGGGCTTCTGTGTATGTTGTAACACTTATAATTGGGCATTTCCCTTCTAATTTCTTGTAATTTCCCTGTGGGGACCCTGGAAGCTGCCTGAGATTATTATAAGAAGTATTGATTCCTATGTAGGATGTGGGACTTCTAAGCTGGTGGCTCCCATACTATATTTCTTGTTTCCTTGCACCTGTACATCACTTGAAGAACAAAGAGAATAGCTCTTGGATAGCTCTGTGGATGAAGAGGACCATTCTCACTGAAGAGGAAAGACTAATGCTGCCCTCCTGGATGCGAGTTGCCTGTTCGATACCTTTTTAGGTTACCTGGTTCACAATATAGTGTATTCATATTTTCTAAGTCTGATGTCTAGTTAAGAGAATCCCTGGTGGACATTCCAGCATGTAACAGATGCTCAGTAAATATTTACTGAGCAACTATATGAGGCTGAAAACATATGCACACAGTTATGTAATTACTGGATGGTATTACCTAAATTTTAACATATATAGTTTGTTGGAATCATCAAATGTCTACATTGGCTACTCTTTTTAGTTATAGTTCATAACTGTACCTCTCCAATTTTGATATAATTCCCCCATGTAGTCACAAAATACTGGGTTTTAAACAGTACACATAGACATCTCGTATGGCATTCTTTGTGTTACCTAAGGCCACTGTTCTGCTCACCAATATACCAGTGGGATTCAAGAAGTGGGCATGTGAAAACATATGTATCAGGGCAAATGAGAACTGATACTTAAGGAGCTTGTGCTGTGACTAAATTATAGACTTACCACACTAATAGACAAGGATAATTTCTTTTGGCCTGTCTGAAAATAAATGAGGATTTTCTTTTCTTGAGTTCTGAGGATCTCAAGCCTTCAAGAGAGATGCTATGCTTTATTTATCTCTTTTATTTCCAGTTTCTAGTATAGTGCCTGGTACAGAGGTACCCAATAAACATTTGTTGAACTAAATAAATTATATGGTCACAGAGAGTCAAATAACAGCTAACTGGATGGGAGTAAGGAAGGAATGTCGAGCTATATAGACCCAGACATTATGGAAATTAGAAACATTATTTCCTTGGAAGACCAGAGTAAGTACAGTAGAAGAGAGAAAGTAGGGAAAGGGAGTCATATAGAATCTATCAAAGCCTCTCCAATGATAATCAAGTGTACGGGGGCAGGGAACTAGGAATACAAATTCTTTCCTAGATTCCATGATATAAGTATCATCTCTGTTTTCACCTCATTACTTTTCCCTACAACTAGTAATAGTTATAATAGAGTATAAAAGATAGTTTAAAAAAAATACTACCTATGTACTCTGGAGGATAACAGAATACTCAGCCTTACAAAAGCATGAGGAAGAATGCCAGAAGTACAGCTTGAAGTTGCATAATAACTGGTTATTTATGAGTTTGATCCTTTTATTTAGCTTTCCTAACTCCATGAACTCACTTAGATGCACAAAGCATATAAATAAATCACAAATAAGAAGTCAACCAGTTTAACAGAAATTTCTTTTTGATGCCAAACACAGTATCAATTGTTCCCAGGGATATTAAAATCATCACTATGTAGATCAATTGAAAAGAATGTTTGTTTTGGGTTAATCAGTAGTTTTAGGGAATGACTAGTACATCTATACTGGGAAATAAACAAATCTAGAATGTTGATTTATTTCTCTATTAGCAAAACAAAATACTCTATTCTTCTTTTTTTGCCCTTTCCAAAAGAACTATAAGGGTAATAGACCCATTTCCAAGATTTTAAGAAATTAAAAATAATGGTAACAAATGGTTTATTTTCAGAACAAAGTTAGAGATAAAAGAGATAAAGAGAAATCCTGGTAAGCTTTTTAAAAGTAAGGTCTAAAGGAATTATTTTTTAAAATCTCAGTAGTTATTGATTCTACTCTTAGGCTTTGAATTTCCAGTAGATTCACTGCTCAGTATTCCCAGGTTGACTTTAGAGACTCCAACTGAATTTTTGTATAACCTAAGCAAAATGAAACAGGAAGCTTTTCAAGGGTTCTCAAAAGAAGATGGACTAAATTCCCCTTCCTAAATCAGGGCTGATATGACATTTTGACATATTCTGAATAGCATGACATTAGAGTTGCTGTATTTAGGAGAAAAAACACCCCCAATTATCAAACCCTTCCTGGAGATTAAAGACCACATGGAACTTTTAGAAAAAAGAAGGGCTAGCCATGGAGTTCCAATTCACTGAACACAGAGTTGGTCCATCATCTCAGCTGCAGTGTGGGCACAATTCACTATTCTAAGAGACTAACTAAGTGCTGAGCTTGCACAGTTGAATACCTATAGCTAGCAGTCAGCATTCTTTATTTATACATACTGAGTGTGTGGAAAGCCTATTGGTTGTAATATTTCATTTTAATAAATGGAAGGGAACGTTTCTTAATATGTAATTTCTACTCCTTCCTTCTTCTCATCTTCTGTACTTGAACTACCCTGAGGACACTTTATAATTTTCCTGCTATAGGAATGTAGCAAGATCTGTAATCCACAATGTTCTATTTACAACATAGAACAGATGTCAGAAATACTTTTGTCTAAAAGCCCCCCTCCCCACCCATATATATGTATTTTTTACCTCATTTCCTGTTGACATGACTGCAACCACTGGAAACTTGTTAACTTCAACCTCTGTGACACCTACAGTTGCCAGAAGACCAATCTCTGAGGGGCCCATGTGAGTTCCTTTGGCCAAAACACATTCTCCTCTTTTAATGTCATGGCCGATGGGTCTGAAAGTTAAAACAGAATCATAAGCATTATGACTAAGAATAATATTCTCCTAACACAGAGGGAAACTTTAGTGTCAAAGAAGGAGGACACTCAAGGGGAAAAAAAGGGCAAACGATGAGTCAGGAGCAGAATAATAAAATGAAGAGATGCTAAAAACTTTGTGCTTTTTTAATTAAAAAAATCAAATTACAAACAAAAGACAGAAATAGAGTTTCTATCTTTTAATGCTAAATAGGAATATGTAATTTCATGTTAAAAATTGCTTTGTATCACATTATAATAAAAAATACCAAATGTAAAGTTTCTTTCACATCAAGTAAGAATTTATATGAAAATATCTAGTGGCATTAATGATAAGAGGTCCACAGCTTGCTGGCTTTGTAGTAAGGAAAATAATGCTAATGAGTTTACAGTCATGGAGAAAATTTCTATGTGGAACACAGGTTGTTAAAGTTCTGTGGCTACACAGATCCACTCATCTTTGCCTCCAGCCAGTTAGTATTAATGGAATCAGGGCAAGCATATTCCATTGTAAGAAAAATAATTGAAAGTATATGTACTCCTTACAGTAGAATAGTAGTAGTATCATTTTTGTATGTAAAGAATAGCAAATTATTCTATTATTAGTTGGTAGTCAGTAAAGAAGAGGCTCTCAGTTAATTGTGTAAATACTAGATTTTGGGATTGGATTGTCTTGTCTGTGTTAATACAAAATTCTGGATTATCTAGGGGTAGAATTGGGTAATTCTGGATTATCCAGAAGTAGGATTAACTGTGGATTATACAGGTTTATGACTTTATCTCCTCATGTTGCTTTTGACTGTTTCATTTGCCTTTTTACCATCTTCATGAAAATATAGGTAGGGCAGACATGTGGTAGAGAATTCAGAACATTCATTTTGCTACTTGTTAGAAGCCCTGAAGCTAATGGATAATTAAATGAGCTATTATATAGCCATGTTCTCCTGAGTTCATAGAAACAAAAGCTGGCTATACATTCTACATGCTATGAACTTACCTGATATCTTGGCCTGGCCGAGCTTGCACGAGAATTCGTACTTCAAGTTCCTCAGTGCCCTATAATAAAAGCAAGTGATGTAATTTCAAACAGAAAAATATAACAGAATTTCTCATCAATAGAATTAGATACTCAGATGCTTTTATCATCAGATAGGCCCAGAATATATAGAAATATAGAGAAACAAAAAAAAAAACAATTGCTAAACTCTTTGAACAATGAATATGAACACTGAACCAGAGGTTCCTGAAAAAATTAGGTTTAATGTCAAGGAATAAATACATAAATACAATATTTTACTAACTTCCATGCTTTAAAAAAATGTTCCAATTCAAATATTGAATCTTTGTAAGTAGCATTCTCAAGAAAAAATAAATAAACTATATATATATATGGTTACCCTAGTAGGTACAGTGAATATGCATGGTGATAAGCTATGTCTTCTGTTACCATAATCATGGGTTCAGTACTATGTGAAGTTTCCCAAATACCTGTAGAAATTTCAATAAAGGACTTATCATTTGCCTGGTAGTAGATTTCTGTAAATTAGCCGTGATCATCCATTTTACATTTATGCACTGTGAATAATATTGTGACACTAGAACTGTGTCTTGTCATCTGGAAATCTGTGGATGCATGTGTTCTGATTTCAATGCTCTGCTGGCTTCCCTGATGTGAATAAATCTGTTGGACAGTTTTAAAAGCAGGCAATGTGATTTATATGCCAAGAGTTGAATTTTATGTTTCACATGTGTGAAGGTGATTAAACAGAAAACCCCCAGATTGAGAAAAGGGGCTGTCTCTTATCATGGCTAAATTTTACTATATACCAAGTGCAGGAGAACTTTATTTTTAACTCTTGCTTTTAAAATACAAGGTATCTTAAAACTTCTCTGCAAAACAAGATAGCCAGTCATTAAAATCTCAGTGGAAACTATTTTTTTTATTAGTGGCTGATCCTCTGGTTTCAATAATTTCCAGGTTGTTATTTGAAGGCACAGATTTTCCTGAATTATAGAAAACTAGAGCTGAAAGCATCATTTGGTTCAAATGTTTGGCTTAGTGCAATATTCAAGAACATGCCCAAGTGTTGTTTGTTAAATTCTTTTTTATTAAATTCTCCTTCAAATTTTACCAAAAGCTACTCTTGAAGAACAAATTTCTCGGCTAGAAAGCATGTCAACAGTTAATATCTCTGCCCTTCTATCTTGAGATAGTTTCTTTCCTTTTTGAATGTGAAATTTCTTGGGCCAAATATGGTCCAAATTCTGCTATTATCACAGTGACTATAAAAATGTCTCCTATAACAAAAGATTTTCAAGCCTCAGGCAACTCCTTATTTACTGGTGGTCCATAGACTACAATGTAAGAATGTAACATGACCCAAAAAACTGGGTTAATCTCAGAAACACTGCAGGAAATGGGCATGACTCATCACATTGCCATGGGGATGGAGTGGTAAGACCTGGGGATGACGTACATCATCGGATTCCCTGATAAGCTCCGTGTCTTCCACCTGTACCACTGCATCAGCACCGCAGGGGATTGGAGCACCTGTTGTGACCCGCATGACTTGTCCCGGCATTACTGTCTGAGTTGGCTGGAAATAGAAGCATGTAAAAAAAGGTTGATTTACTTTGCTGCTGCAAAGAAAAATTAGGAGACGTAAACATTTTTAGAAACAAATCATAAGAGTCTACAGTCTTACTCATTTTATACCAATGTAATAGAAGCTATCCATGAACAGGTGCACTTATACCAAAGAGACTTTATCTTCAGGTATGACCATTAGATATACTTGGTGCCCTGTTACCCTTTTGAAGAACTGCCACTATGTTTGCTACTACTGTGTCTCATCCAATATGAATTTTCTTAATACTTATATGGAAAGTGATTTGAGTGTCTTTAAGAGAAAAAAATACCATGCAATATGATTTTATGAAAGACAGTTATGAAAAACCGGCATGTTGGTCATTTACTTAAGTTCTGATATTTGAGAAACATGGTATTTTATTAACAAAACTTTTTGGTTAAATAAAAATAAGCCAGTTTGCTCTTGAAAATCTTTTATTAGTTCACTTTTCAATAATAAAAGTCTAGCAAATGTAATTTAATAATTTAAAAATGATTCCAGTGTTCATAATGATTTGGATCAAACATTGTATCTCAGATTTGCATTGTCTGAGCTTTCATATGAATGGTCTAGGACACTTGGCCACAGGACCTGTCCTGGAAACTTTTCCCAGCATAGGGAAAAAGCATATTTCTGTAAGATTTATCTGACAGGCTTGATCTAAACTCAGAAGAGTCAGTTGTCATGGGCCATGATTTAGGTCAGAGTTTGGAAAAGGAATGGTTTGAACTTCCCCTGTAAGATAATTCTGAGATAGTATTTCCCAATTAAAAAAAAGATATCTTTCCAAAGATATCTGCTTTAAAAGTATTAAAAATCTTTTGTCACAACAATTAGAATATACTTAACACTACTGAACTCTATAGTTAAAAATGGTTAAGATGGTACATTTTATGTTACACATTTTTTGCCACATAAAAAAAAATTTTGAGAATGGTTAAGGAAAAATGTCCATCCACTGGATGTCCAACAAAGTAAAACTAGAAATTTATTTCTTAGAACAGCCTTTCAAAGCTTCTTTGGTAATACTATTGCTGCAAACAATACCAATAATAGCTAATATTATTGATTCCTCAGTCTATGCTAGGTACAGTATTAGGTGCATTATTATATCCTTGAATATCAGTCCTACAAAGGCAGGAATTTGTTTTATTTTCTGTTTGCCTCTCCAGATCACATCGTCATTCTCTATCCTGTGCTGTGGCCCAGAAGGCTGACTATGGACTATTTCAACAAGGTTCCCATCACTCTAAATTCTGGTTAGGCTTACCCAGTTAGGGATGGGGGAAGGGGGTCAACCAGGGGTTAGAGGGCAGGAGAGACAACGGTAAAGCAGGGCTCTAATTTCCCTTGCTCTTTCCCTGCTGGACTGCAGTTTGGTCATAGCTCTGTCATCTCTACACTGAGGACCACAGCTCCTATTGGGTGGCCCTCTTGCATAGCTATGAATTTACCCAGGTCCAGGTACCACCCTTTCCCTTTGGCCCCTCAGACTTAGAGGTGGTAATGGAGTCTCACTGTTGGCACCCGGGTACTTCACATTCCTTTGTTAGTTCCCCTTAACCCTGCCTAATCTTGGGTGTAGTCCCTTCTTTGATTGCCCTTTTTCCAGACTTATTTATTGCTCTATCATCCCAAAGCCTAGAAAGTGTCTGGCACAAAACTGGTAGTCAAGAAATATTTCTGGAATGAATGAATGAACATGTATGATCTCATTATCACAACCACAGGAAGGATGCAATCCTTTTTGGCTTACAACTCCAGTTTTCTCCCTGCTTTTCTCCCACAGTCATTGGAGAAAGAGATTCTTGGGAAGATCTGGCATTGAGCTATGTACCTTATATCCTCTTATTGTGTTATCTGAATAAAAGACATTCAGGGCTTATAAGAAGTTACATTTTAATGCAATTTTCTACCAAGATGATGCATAAGATTTAAAATGAAAAGTTTAGGGCCCAATGCATTAATTTCTTTTTCAACCCCAGATACTAATTGTCTGGGACATCTCTTAATCTATTACATATGACCATTTTTCAGTATAGTAAGTTTTGATAGAAAGCATTAAAGTTTTGTCATGATATATGTGTTTTTTAGTAAAGGTGCTAATGCGAAAGCTAGCTTCTGAGCCTGTGGGACAAAGATATTCACTATAGGCCTACAGAGATCCTTCTTTTGCTGAAAGTGTCTTTCTGGCTAAGGCAGAAAAGGAATCCTAAAGTAAGATTCAGGGCAATTGCTTCTTAACCTGCAGTGTGTTAGCCTGAAGCCCTACCTCAATTTAGTTGGATTCAATGTACAATATCCTGTAAGTTTAAATTTTATTGTGGTTGTACCTATATTTTTCTCTATTTCTTGGCTTAAATCAACTCTTAAGAAATGTTTTTGTGTGGTTATTAAATAAAAAATGTGGCTTCTCTCCAAAACCAGAAATTCTAAGTGGTAGGTGAAGGATTCTTACCAGCTCACTTCCATGAAATCCAATGTAAAATACATCATTGCATATATAAAGATATTTATATATCCACTCTGAATAGACATATAAACTGCAACTGAATCAAATAAAACACTCTAACAATGTGTCAAGTACTTCCTATAGATTAATATTAGTAACTAGTTCTTTTTTATTTTTGTTGTATACCTTGTATACTTAATATAAAGTAAAAATAGTTGAAATTTTTATTTCTTTTCTTTGACAGCAGTATTGAGTAAGGTTTTTTGAGTTTGTCCAGTGATAGCACTTTATACTTATATAATATTTCCTTTGAAAGTATCCAGTGCTAACCAATAGGACCAAACTATAAGTGATTTAAGGTCAAGTACTTTGGTACACCAAGAAACCATTTTGTAAATCACTGTCTCAGTGTATGAAATGACACCCCAATGTGTGTACTTTCAGTAAGTGAGCAATTTGATTCTTGCAAGACCTCTGAGATTATTGTAAAGAGTATATGACACATCAGTTATAGATAAAGGACATCACAGGTAATTTGAAAAAAACATTTTCTTACATAGCTTTGATCTTTTTCTCCATCAAATTTTTTTATGATAACTTATGAAAAGTTAGAAACTTTTAAGTTAAGTTTCATAACTTTTCTTATGCTCCTAGTTTTTAGTATAGTTGGAAGTCTGACCTAATAAATGAAATTTAACAAGTCCACAAGGCCCTTATCAATTTGCTACCTATCCCTATGTATTGTAGGCTGTGACTGCCGCAAACCATTTGCAGTTCCTTAAGTATTCCATGCAATTTTAAAAACACCTTTGGGTCTTGATTTATACTATTTTCTTTGTCTGGAATGTTCTTTTCTCATTTCTGTTTTTGTGAAACTCTCAGGCCCAGCTGTAATGTCCTTTCCCTGATCCTCCTAGTATGAAATGATAATATCTCTGTTGTGCTCCATGATACATGACTGATAGCATTAGTTCAATATTTAATACATTATATTATATTTAGTTATTTATATTCAGTTTTCTCCACTAGATATAAACTCCTTACGATTAGTAGTCATGTCTTAAATTACTTTACATCCCTAGAACCTAGCACAGTGTCTGGTACACGCAGTAGGTATGTTTGATAAATGTTGGATAGACTCAATTGCAGATCAGGAAAGCACTTAAAGAATAGTTGATATTTTATGGCTTTGTTTTAAAAATGAATGCTTCAGATGTCCACTGTTGATGGAAATATATACCAAGAGGTCAAATAAACCATGAGGTCACAATGCAAAATTTATAAAAAAAGGGACCTACCCTCACTGTTCTTTTTGTCAAGAAAAGAGTTGTGGGGACAAAAACAAGCCTGTGTACAACATGGACAAGGATTTGGTTGCCATAATGCTAGGCTTAGTTAGCTTCAGAGACTTGTTCACAGTTACAGTTCTCAATGCTTGGATATAGAGGTAAAAGCATTAGGATCACCACCATTCATACATCCTTCTGTAACCTTCCTTAACCCCTCTCTATTTTCAGTACATATGGGAGTACATGCTAAAACAAGGAAGAAAAGGCATGGGGCATAGTTTTTGCCAAGCTGCCTCATTCATTCGTTCATTCATTTCTGCCCTTATTTTTAATATAAGGCTTACAAGGGCTTGGTAGGAGCAGAAGAGAAAAGTGTCTTAGTCTTAGTTTGGTTTAATAAGGTAGGAGCTCTCTTAACCAACTTTCAAAACTCACTGGGTTAATACATGCTGTTTATTTTCTTTTAAACATAACGATGCCCACAGCACATATGAGTTTGAAGCTGCTAGACTCTTACATACTTGTAAACTATTGCTTTAGGTTTAATTGAGTTTGTTTTCAAACTTGTTTGTCCCAGTTTGTGGCAATAGTTGCTACTGAATTATGTAATTTAAATAAATATTACATAAACCAAGGATATATGAGTGTGAAAGAAGTTATTTTTTTCTATAAAAATTAAGTTAAACTTCTGGAAAAACTCAATTAAAAATGCTACTAAGAAGAACCACTGTCGAATTAGGTGTGGTGAAGCAACTGTAAAAAATTATAAAAATATAATAAAAATCTGCAAGGATTTTATAGTTAGATGGCTTTGTAAATGTCCTTAAATTTCTTTTTAATTTAGAGAAACCAAAACTGGAAATTACATATAGAGTCTTTTGGGTATGATTTTTATAAGAAAGACCAGATAGAAATTAAAATAGCAGGTATTTATTAAAAGAAAAGCCTCAGCTCTCCATCAAATTACTGACAAATAAGTGTTCACTTATTTAAATTAAATTTATGTTTATTTTAAAAATATGAAATAATTTCCCACTTTAACTTATTTATAATTAAATGGCCAATTACTGGTCTCAAAAGCACTAAGTGAAAGGACTTCTATTGTACTTCCATTATGTCCCATTAGTACTTCATTTCTTACCAGAAATATATGTGTACCTGTTCCTTGGCTGGCTCCCTAATGAGAAAAATTAATCAAAATGATTAGCTAGAGAGGTTAAATAATCTACTTTTTTAAAATTTCCCTTTTTGTAACACAAATGGGGAAAAGTCTGAGAAGACCACTTAGCAACTATATACAGGATGAAAGAATTATTCATTTACAGGGCTGAAAAATGCTTTTGTGGAGCATGTTTGTGACACATGCCAACAACAACACCATGCCATATATTAATAGATGCAGATTCTTTCAGTTACAAAATAATTTTTTTGTTTCTTTCTTACAGGAACCATCCTTTAATTTCTTTGATAAACTGTCTAATCCCTCTACAGATTTCTGTTAAAATGATGGTAGCAAGTTCGAATTAGATGCTGAAAGTCCATAATATTGACATCTTTAGAGCCTTTCCAGCCTATGAATCTCACCTGTTCACCAGCTTGGGATTCCCCAATGATGAAACGGTCTCCTGGGCCATCGGCAGCTGTGAGATGAACAGAACCAAGAACAAATATTAGAATGGGCTTATAGCAAGAAGTAAGAACCTAGTGGTGGGATTCTAAAATTTGATTCAAATAATCATATAAGGCTTCAGGAAAGTAGAATACTTTTCTAATCTCCTAGACCAGACAATGACTTTGTTACTACTGGTTTGATCTTTGGTATCTATAACTCACAAATACCAATAAAGTGGTCCTAATTGTGCCCTTTCTTGTTGTCACTAAGATGGTCTTTCTGTTGCTCTATAATTTTCACACTTGTACTTTTTAAATAGGAAATTCTTTTAGCCTATCCTCCTAAATAAATACCACCTTATCCTTGGGTATATATGTGTGACATGTGTGTGTACACTTATATATACATATAGCATTGTATATACATATAGCATTATATATATCCATATTTTTTCATTTTTCTATAAAGTTTTTAATTTTTCATACAATTTTCTCATGTACCACCCAGTCTGATCTTCATAATAACCCAATTAAGTAGGAAGAACATATAATTTTTCTTCATTTGACATCTGATGGAACTGAGTTACAGAATGAAGGAACTCAGATACAAAAGGTTAAGTATCTTGAACAAGTTATGGTTAGTATAGAACTAGGCCTAAAACCCAATCTCTTAATACCCAGTTTTTCTTTTTTTTAATAGTGGGCAAAAATGCTGTTTCTGAATCAGATTACTTAGAGAGGACTGCATCACATTTTCCACTGATAACTTATTTTTAAATTAGAAGAAGCACTTTCACAACTGAGATGGAAAAAACTTACCAATTTGTTTTTTTTACATACAATGTGGCTGGATGAAAAAATATTTCTGGAGATAAATACATTCATAAGCATTCTTTTCATATACAATGTGGATTTCAGACCAATATGAAGGGCAAGGCAATGCCTATTTAATGAGTTTTATGGTCATGACCATTACCTTCATGTCACCTGCATATAGCAAGAGGTTGGGATACATACACAGAAAAGATAACACTTTCTATATGAATATTGGCAAACATCCTGACAAATAATAAAAGTATTTCCCTCTTTAAAAAGGACATGAAATTCACTGCTTATTTATTTTAGTGTTTTTCTAAAGGCTTGTATACAATACTGCTTATAATGCATCACTTTTATTTCATAGATGGCTTTGGTTAACTGGATGTGGAGAGAGAGAAAAAATAACATTTGGTCTCTTCTATGTACTAGATACTATATCTTGTGCTTTTTATAGACATTATCTCAGCCTTGTGCTTTTTTTGAATCCTATTATATTTTCAGTGCTCACTTGAAAAATGAGAATAGTTTTCCTGCAATGTTATTCTTATGCTCCTTTCATGGGTTCTCTTTTTTAAAAACTTAAAAAAAATCAACAATTTAAAATAGACGCAGAAGTCATAGCTTCAACAATTATCAATATTTTACTAATGTTGTTTCATCTATCCCTCACTTATTTTTATAGTATTCTAGAGCAAATCATAATTTTCTTACTGTAGAAAATTAAAAAGTCCATTATCTTCCAGAATTCCACACTAACTGCATCTTAAGTGTGAATAAACTTTAAAAAAATTATTTCTCTACTAGAGCAATCCCATAAGCAATCTAGACATTTTCTCTTTTTACTTCTTGCAAAAGGGTAAATTAGCATGGTTTTAGAGTAAAAAAAAAGCTGAATGTGAATCCTGGTTCTGCCTATTATTAGTCTTTGAGCAAATCACTAAGCCTTTTCTAACCTTCAGTTTTCTTGTTGATAAAAATGGGGATAATCAGTTTAAAAAAAATATAATACCCTTTAAAGCTTTTTCTTTCTTTCATTCATTCACTAAATTTCTACTGAGTGTCTTCTATGCCCCAAGTATCATACCAGGTGCTGGGAGAGAGCAGAGTGTAAAACCAGACATTGCTTTTATTCTAATGCAGTGCTAGTCTGTTGCAAGGTTTTTCAAACTCGGGATCCTAAAAGGAGATGGGCTATAAAATCAACCTGTGAACAACTTTTTAAATTAAAAAGAATAGAAATACATTTCATTACATATGGTAGGATGAATGTTACTTCATGAAACTTATTATTGTTTATATGTATGTACTGTATATATCATACATATGTGTGCTTATCACTGGGTTGTGATGTATAGTGCATTTAATGTGTATCTTCCTATGCATATGGTTAAAACAAAACTCTTAAAGCCACACATATAGTGGGGGAGATAGATATTAATTAAATAATCACATTAATGAATGTATGATACAATTAAGAAAAACACTCTAAAGGAAAGGAACATGGTTTTATGAGAACATACACTGAAAATTCAGAGAAAGCCACCTTGACAAAAGGATTTCTGGTTTCAATATGAAGGATGAGTAAATGTTAAGTAGGCAAAAGGTGTGCATGTGTGTGTGCATGCATATGCACATGAGAAAGAGAGAGATAGGTGAACTGGAAATGCTCCATCCAAGTATCTTCCCCTAAAAATAACAGTACATGCAAAGGCCTCTGGTTCTTGTCCTCCTTACAGATACCCCAGCCACTCTAGTACTGTAGTTTCCCGAGAAAATCAAGACGATTCATATTTCAGCTCTGTAACATATGCTACTTCCATGGCTTGGAGTGTCCTTTTTTTGCCCCTGCCTTTTAATTAAAGACTTCTTAACTTTTAAATTAAGACTCAGCTCAAGTGTCATCTTCTCTATGAAGTCATGTCTGACATCCCTACCAAGAGTCACCTAGTTCCTCTGTTTTCCCCGGCATATTCCTGAAATAACTCCAATTCAGACTTTCTAATGTGTTTGCAATTATTTGTTTATTTGTCACAGGGGAATCCCTAGCATTTGCTGCATACTAGGTATGCAATAAATATTCAATTTGTGAAGTATCCAAAATGTTCAATGAATGGGGCTCCTAAGAATCTTTTTAGAAAGAGGCAGGCATAAATGAAAAAATAAATAATATTTTTCAGTATAAAATGCTATCTTTTGAATATCTTCTATTTGCTGCTGTTCCATGTATATTGATTTCTTCAAAATGTGACTCAACATTCACCAACTTCAGAATGTTTAGAAAGACTGCTCTGATTAATTCTATACAACTTTGATTATGCTGTTATTCTGTGTAGCACAGTGCCAAGCTCATCATTTGATGCTCAGTAACTATTTGTGAAAATAATAATGAATTTACCCAAAATGAATTTGGCATTTCCACAATACTTAAGTGGAAAGCTTGTAAACTGACTTGTATGCACTAGTATTGTGTTTTGTAATTTAAATAATTTCATAAGAGTATTTATTTTATCTCTTCATGTAGATCATGAGCTTCTTGGAGGTAGGGATCATATCCTTTATTTCTTTTTTTGAAACCCTCTGCTCTTCAATCTTTCTCCTGTCTCCTGTTCTCCCACACTAGCAAATGTACATACACTCAAAATGCTTATATCAATGCTCTGCACAAATGCTCCAAAAAGTCACTGAATCATGAGTGGCTGCAGGTCATGTGGGGCAAGCCTGAAAAAGAGTGTCAAGGAGGCCAATATCTGTATGAGCCCTAAAGTGATGCTAAGCAGCAAGATCATTTGTGATCAGGGAAGTTGCACTGACCGGGGAGAGAGTACATACTCAATTAAGCTATGTTCTTCACCTTTCCTTGAAAGTTTCCACCTGGGAGACATGCCTCTATATTGCTGGCTAAGGAAGGCTCAGTCAACCAACATCTAGAGGGTTCTTGGTACCGAGAGGAGTCTTGTTTATTATTTACCTTATAACATTGCTTCTCCTTATTCCATATCCTTAACATGCATACAAATCACCTGGAGATCTTGTCAAAATACAGATTCTAATTCAGTAGGTCTGGAATGGGGCCTGACGTTCTACATTTCAAACAAGCTGCTGCTGCTGGTTCATGGACTACCCTCCCTGAGGACCAGAGCACTATCAGATTGAACTGAATATAGACAAATTTAGACAAAAGAAAACTTAAGGAATAAAAAATCAGTGAACTACAACAGGAATTCTGATTTTACATTAATATCAAGGCTCACTATTTCTTACAAAGGCAGAAAAATAATGATCAATCTAATTTGCTGATATTTATTTTAAAATATCTATTAAAGAGACAGGTATAAGAAAAGTGTCATTTTCAAAATGAAGTCTATACACTTGGGTGGGTGGGGGCAGAAGTGGAGGTATGGTGGCAAATGAACCTAAAGCTTGGACAGAAATAAACTAAGCTGCAGCATGCCATTAGAAAAGATGGATGGATTCCAAGGATTTCTGTAGAGGCTTAGAAGCTTTCCTCACCCTCCATAATTCTGACATTTTTGTTAATAAGTTTTCTTTTCTGTTTTCTAACTAAAGAATTTAGTTTGAAGGTAGTGATACAAGCAATATAAACCAAATGTTAATAGTAAATGGATTATATATAAGTAAAATATTTAATGCTAGACCCTGGAGCTGCTCTCACTTCCATGTTTATTTTAATGTCCAGAAAGCACTTCTAGGCTTGTTCACCTGTTTAGTTGAAGGTTTCTATTATACCATTTGATATAAAATTGAAACCATTTAAATAACTGCTCATTGTAGCAATGTATAGAAAATGTTCTGCTCCAAGCCATTTGTCATAGAATTTTCCCCTCATTTTCATTTTCCAGCCATATGTGAGATCTCTTTCAGCCTCTTGAAACATTTTATAGCTATTCATTTATTTTCAGTAATAAAGAGTCTCATCATTTCCATGTTAGGGCTGAGTAAACTGAGTCTATAGAGATAGCATAACTTTTTCAGAGGTCCTAGGAACTATCTTTGGCATAGGGATTAAGATTTTTGTTTACTCTAATAATGGAACAAGACTGGATGATAGGGACCAGGGTAATGTATTTATGTGTATACTGAAATCAGGATTATAGGAAGAGTTGGGGTGGGGACAAGTGAACACTTGTGCATCATTATTAATACTGCTGCAATTACAGTGAGGGATTAAATCAGGTGGGTTGTTTGGAAT